GTTTTCCGGTTTCCACCTTTTCATTTCTTGTTTCAGTGCCTCTGGCTCGCGGCATGTTTTTCATTTTCCTTTTCAATTACCCCGCCGCGACGTTCACTTGGCGCATTTCTCATATATTTTTTTCGGTCTGGCCGGGATTGTTTGCCTAAAAGCGGGAAGGGGAACGAAGGCCGGATGGGTCTCTGCTGGATCCTGGTGGCTGCTCCTTGCACGGCTGCATGCATTTAAGTCTAATTGCGGGGCTGCATTGTGTGCGATATGATAGTTTGGTTCGTTTTGGACTTTAGCTTCAGCTCCAACTCGCAGGGCTTAGGCTAAGCGCCTCAGTTTAAGCCCCTTTCATCTGCCAGCTGGGGTTTTTTTCTTTTCTTTTAAAGCGCTGATCCTGGACCAGGATCCGAGAGCACGGAAATATAATAAGGAAATCAGAAGGCAAATAGTACAGGGGAATTAACTCAAAAGTTGCACGCAAATATCGGGAGTAGGAAGTGGCCCAGTTGATGGCCAAGGCAACAAATGGCCGCCGGATGTCGCTAAAGTGCTCCACTTCCGGTTGCTCTGTTTACTGTTATTACTTGCTAGTGGCTGCCCTGCTTCGGCAAGTAAAAATAAAAATTGATGGCCCATTTCAATGACCACGCCTCTAGCTGCAGCTCGAACTATATAGAACTTAAAGTAACCTCAGAACTATGCTTTATAGCAAAAATATAGTTTTTGCCGGTAAATATTCTTTAAACGAACTATTAACATAGTGCTGAGATTTACAATCTAATTTATAGGTAATTCCAAAGCAGTAGACTTATGAAAGAGTTACATTAGATATTTCTCATCCTTTAAGCTCTGAAATAACTTAAACGTGTCAAAAGTAAAGCAACAGTTACTCTGAAATTAAAGATTTATTATAGGAAACTGTCTGTACATATGCATGTACATATATCTCAATCTGTGGCACTCTTTTCTCGGTTATCTAATAAACCAAATTTCCGTTAGCTCATTAAAATGGCAGTCCTGCCAAAAGTGCTGCCTCCGCCTTGTGGCTGCTGTAATGCGTGAACATTTCGTATTGCGGATGCAATAAAGTGCAGGATTTATGTGCCAGCCGCCTGGCAATTGAATTTAATTTTCCAATGCAGCCGCAGTCGCGTTCCTCGGGGGCCCTCGAGGACCAAGGACGACTGTCTGCAGTAATAACTGTAATTTTTGGCAAATGTGCACGTCCCACCTCCTCCTCACCCAACTCCTTCATGCTTGTGGCTTTTCTCCTGCTCGTCATATGCAACATGGACACGGACTCCCCTTCACATTACGGACCCCGGGACTGTAGTTGATATTTATGTCTTAATATATGCACACACGTTGGGCCCCAAAAATCTAAGTAATATTTCTTAACATCTCAAAGGTCCTGGGCATCCGTACGAGTACGAGTATATCCTGCTTTTGTCATCTCGTTGCTCGTGCAGAATGCGTAATGAATTATTTAGGCCTGGCCCATGACAATTTATCGTTGCATGCATTGGCATTAGTTAAATGTAATTATGTGCCTTCCGAATCGAAATTAGTTTCTGGCCGATGACTCAATGACCTCGAACCAGGCTTTAAGTTATTCCTATAGTAATTGCTTTTGTGCCAAAAATACGCTTTAAAACGCTTTGGTTTAAGCTGTAGGTCCAACCTAAGCTAAAAATAAAATAAATAAAAAATCACAAAGCTCCCAGCAGAAATAGCTACATCGCAAAAAAATGCTTAATTAAATATGCAAACTAAGTGACAATGTTTCTAGTTATTAAAATCGAAATTGTTGCGCGCAAATTAATTTACAATTTCACTCGGGGGATTTGCCAGCAGCCCCACAAAAGACGAACACAAAAAATGCCAACGAAAAGCTGACAAAAAAGAATAATTAAATAAATAAATATAGACAGCCGGCAATCAGCTTATGTCGCGCAACATTTTAATTTTAATATGCTATGTGGCCTTCAATTATTCATATCAACGAAAAAATTTAACAAACTATTCAATGTTTATCATCTAAAATCCTGGCCAATTCTTTAAATTTTGAACGTGGCCGAAAGAGAGAACGGAAAATAGCGGAAGCCTCTGATTTTTGGCAAGCAAATTCCATTGAATTTGCTTTCGAAATTTATGGTTTAGAAAAATGTTGCCAAAAACTAGACCGGAATGGTGGGTGGTGGTGGTCGGCGGGCGGCGGTTGGCAGTTGGCGGTCTTCGGCCAGCGGCAAGATTGGGGGGCCCAGCAGAGATAATAGCTTTTGATTACAGTTTATGGATGTCGCCTTTAGCTTTTCGGTCTCCATGTGTCTGTGTGTGTGTGTGTGTGTGTGTGTGTGTGTGCCGGCCAAAAACTTCAGTTGCGCCGGAAAATGTGGGCTGGCTTTTTGGGGGTGCTGTGGCGACACAATGGCGACACTGGGGCAGGACCACAGCCAGGACCTGGACTAGGAGCCTATATACTACATACACTAGCTTAGTGGCTCCGAAAATGTATGGCAGGCGTTTGCAATTATTGAAATTGTTCCATGGCACAAAATCCAATTGACTTTTATGCAAATGAAATTACGCGATTGCTCTCGTTTCGTATCTTGCTCCCGTTCCCGTTCCCGTTCCCGTTCCCTTTCGAGTCGCAGTCGCAGTTCGAGTAAAAAGCAAAACATTGATTTTTATTTACCGCTCTGAATTAAGTGCAGCGAGCAACAAAGGCCAGAGTGGGGAAATGGGGAAAACACGGCGAGCCACATTTTCATAACGTAAGTGAATAGAAAATTGAATCAAATCTAATAATAAATGCTTTTATGCAGCCCTTAAGCACTCTGAAAAGATGACGACAATGCAGACGTTCCTGGCGAGGATGATGATGATGATGATGCCGATGATGGCGAATGGGGAATGGGAGGGTAGTCTTATAGTCTTGTAGCCTTGTTGTTGATGGGATCGGGGGCTGCAAATGGGGTATCCTCTCCTGGCCAGATTGGTGTCGCTCCGTTGGCCAAAGCTGCAATGTCGTCGCCGCTGGCAACATGCATGCGAGGACAGAGTATGTGTGTTGGTGCCCACCTAACGTTAAGATTGTTACTGGTATTATTCTTGATGTTGCAGGATGCGGCTGAGTACAGGCAAAGAAATTTTTAGGGTATAAAATGGTATATTCAAGAGTTTGTAGTATAATATAGTATAGTATGTAACATGTAAAGTATATATTTATTGTTCTCTAATTATTTGTCCGTTTGTAAAAATACTGACGTCCCTAATATATATTCCCGTAAATATACTGTATTTCCCTCGAAAGCTCCTTAAGCATATGGCTCGCTGTAACTCACTGCCTGTCCTTTTTGCCCGTCTCTCAATTTGATTTGCCTGTCTTTAAACAATTTAAATGAGTTTGCATTTTGTCTTTGTTGTCTGCCTGTTAGCCAAGTTGTCTATCCGTCTGTCTGGCAGCTTTTAACTACTTTGACTTGCAATTCATTTAGCTTTGCATGGCAAATGAAACGCACCTGGTGCACCTGTCCCACCTCAGATGAGTTCCTCATTCTGCTGCTGCTCCTTTTCCCAGTTAGCCCAGTTTTCCCTTAGGCGGCAACGTGTTGCCAGTTGCCAGTCAATTTCAATAATTCAGACCATAAACGGAGGGGGAAAAGCAGTTACCGAAATGAAACAAAGCCATAAAATGAGCTGGCAAACTTATGGCTGTGAATTTTGCCTCGGTCTGCTTATGATTTTATTTCGCTTGGCCAAATTGCAAGGACCAGGTGCGTGAGGTTGCCAAAATTTTTGAAGAGTGCTAGAAATGGCATATGTACATAGAGAAAAAAGGTTTCAAATGTTATGGGAATCGTAAAAAATGTCGGCGTAAATAAACGTATATTAAAGTACTATATATTATAGGAAATATTTATGTTATCAAAAATGCCATATAATTAGATGTATTATAAATTTACCTAATTTTCCCACTTTTTAATACTACAAATACTGTAACAAACTATTATTTATGAATATTATTTTACTATAAGCTTTCATTTCATTATGCAATTTACAGCTTTCAGTGTCGAAAACCAATTTTCTTTTGGCTTTGTACATAAAAAACTTATAGAATTCTTCTTATATTTAAGTTGTGTTCCATTTCAAAGGAGCCCTAAAAACACGAAATGAGTTCTAAATCCATTTGAAGATAATGAACTTTTGATGACACCGGAATAGAAAATATATTCAACTTTATGACAAACTCAAGAGCTATCCTGCTGTAGCTGCCCCTTATCCGTACTCATAACTCAATAAAACATCTTGTATTATTCGCGCTTTTATTTCGCCGCACTTTATCGATATAGAGTCGCGGGTAAATACAAACTTTTACACCACATAAATTGCCTGGCATTTATATTATTTGCTTAGCATCGTTTATCAGGCAATGTCCAAGCACTCGCGATCCAATTGGCTGGGCCATAGAAAAATACGAGTCCTGGGCTGCCAGGGCGGACTCTCCTTCTTTATGGGCGAGCACTTGGCAGCGCTTATTTATTAGTTGGACTTTTGAAAATATCGCATATTTATATTGTATTTATTGTGGCTGCCCCGCTTGCAGCTTTAATATTTATTTCCGTTTCCGGTCCGCTCTGTGCTTCGCTGCCAAGTCCCTTCGAGCTGCAGCTGTGTGCTCATTACTTCACTTGCGGCGTACGTAATTCAAGTGGCTCCTCCTCGGACGCCATCCTCTTATCCTCCAGGATGCGAAAGCACAGATACGAACCCAAACACACACACACACAGACACACAAACTCGGGGCGACAATTGGGAATGACACAGTTTTGTCGCTCAGCGTTTGCTTGGCGGGGTATTTGTGTTCTTTTCCTGTTTTAATACCCGGCAGTTGAAGGTTAGTGAGGGTATTTAGGATTTCATAACATTTTAAGTTTCTTTTATTTAAAAATATTGATCGTTTTACCTAGGTGTGCTTCATCAATAGATTTATGTTTTTCCTTTCTTTAGAAGTATTTGAGGAATGGAGCAGAAGGATTTCAGAGTAAGTTTCATTTTAGATATTTATATACATGTATTTGTAGAAATATAAAGATAAAATATGATTCTAACTAATATAAGGACATTACAATTTTATATTTAAAAACCATAAACGTTAAATGCCGGGTATTTTAAGGTCTTTTCCCCATATAGATGCCTCATCACTGTTTTTATTTGTATTTGCATTATTTTCTCACTGGCCCTGGTCTGGTTTCAAAAAGATTTATGTGCAAGTTGCTACTTCAAATGTAATTTACAACAGACTCTCGCCAAATTTATGCGGGCCGTGGCCGCACAGGATCTGTGAGTTTCGAATCTGCGGCTCAGCCGAAAGCGTAGACTTTGTCTGAGCGCTTTTTAAGAGCTGTTCCGCCATGCAGGACTTGGTCGAAATAAAGTTGTGGCACATGAATTCGCCATTAATAAGATAATATCTGGCTGAATACCCACCGTCGTGTTTCGCGGAGTTTCGTGAGACTTGATGCAATTACGGGGAGAAACTGATTACCCGGACATGTCAGCGCCGTAGACACAGTCGGAGGATATTGTCTAGTTTTCTGTCAAATGTCATGAACCGGGGGCTCGAGTTGAGTTTCCCCTACTCTTCACCTCTCGAGGAAACTGACATTTGCACTTTTTCCCAGGACCTCGCAGGATGCGAGACCTTCTGTTCTCGGCGCTCGTCTCACTTCCACGGCATTTTTTCTCAACCGAGTTCTCCTTTTCTTTTTTTGCCATTCGTTTTGACTCCATTTTTCGTTATCCTTTTTAGATATTCATATTTTGCCATTGATGATATTTTCACTACTTTCGTATGCATTACACGTACGGCGCCCGCACAGCCGCCCATATATATACGGATGTATGTATGAATCCTGCCAGGGGTTCGAGGATGGTTTTTGAGGATGCCAGGTCCTGGGGTTGTCTTTGGGCCGTATTAACTCTACCCGGCCGAACGGAGGCAGGGATGTGTGCGTGAAATTTGCATATTTTTTGACTTAACACATCCTTCAAAAATTGCGAAACGCGTTTGCGATAGCTTTGGCATTTCCTTGACGTCTTTCCGCTTTTCCCCACAGTTTTTCCACATTTTTTCCCTATCCGTTTACTTTCTTTTTTTATGCAGAAGAGCTCTATCTATTTGGCCTTTGGAAAAGTTGAGCCCATTAAAGGCAAACGCTTTAAATGCCGAATTGTGTCCAATGTGCTGGCTGGCTTTTATGGGACTCCCGTGTCCTGGCCAAATTGAATTGGCCGCATTAAGCGCTCGCGCCCCATCGGGCCAGTGAGGTTGCCAGTGCTGGCAATTTATACGTTTTTCGGACAGATTGTTCAGTTATTAAATGGTATTAAAGTGGTGGGGAAAATAATGTCTTTCTTTGGGGAAAGGTATTCGATTCGGTGAAAAATCAGGATAATGAAAAATTGTGTCTTTCTGCACAGATTTCAGGAGATGAAAACTGCAAGGATTCCATGAAATAAAAACTATACAGATTTCAGCATTGAAATACTGTATTTTATGCTTAATATTCAGAGTATCTTTCTGTATTTATTTTTTATTTTTGGAATAATGGAATTTATTTAAATAAGCTTCCCTTCGAACTGCTCTGATGTATTCTGTATTGATTCGCAGTGGCTTTAATGGCCGGGAATGTATTTAAATTTCATGCGGCGCTGGCGAAGGATACCAAGAGATGGGGCTGCAGGCCCCGGCTCTCAAGACAAGTGGCGCTAATCCTTGACTTTGCTGCTAATGCACGTCGTATGTCAAACACCAAAAACGTTTACACCCCCGCTGACTGCCGCCCCTGGTTGGCCCAAGGAGCCCCCTTTTGGCCGCCCGCACAAGTAACGCAATTTATATGCCTTCTTCACTGGCTTGTTTGTCTTGGCAGCGCCGGCGTCGTCTTTCCCCTCGTCCTTCGTCCTTCGTCTTTCGCTGTGTGCCATGCATTTTTCTGCACTTTTGACTTCTGAGCGTGCACTTGGCCAGGCTCGGAGCCTCGGTTTCAGCCGGATTGAGCTCCTCCGCGGCAGCCACCATTTTCTGCGCGTTGTTTGTCTTAAGGGATATATATTCCCCTCGGTGTGTGCCAGCGTGTGTATTTGCCAGCGCTCTCTGCCGCAGGCATTTTGATAAGAAAAACAAACACACACACTGGAGCTCACTCACTCACTCTCCTCAGTCAGCCCGGGCTCAAGTGTCATTTATGCGTTTTAATGCCGGAATTTAATTTTCAAATTAAGTAAATAAGTTTGCGTAAAAAGTTTGTGTGGATCCGGCGCAGCAAGTATCGCCATCTTGAGTCGCTCACAAAAGCCGCCGCTGGCTGTTCACTTCGCGAGTTGCAGTCGCAGTTGCACTTGCTCGGAAGAAGCTGTAATAAACTCTTGGCATTGACAAAAAATTATATGGTAAGCCGTAAGAAGCTTGTGCTTAATGGCATTCGGGCCACTTGGAGCGTAAATGAGGCGCTTTAAGTGCATGGGGGGATAAGTAATTTGCATGTACTGGATTTACATGTGAATATACTAAAAGAAAGTACATTTACAATCAAAGAGAAGGGGCTTGCAAAAAAAATGTATATAAATATATTTTAAAAATGATGAAGGTATTTTGAGAGGTTTATTTATCCAACTCGACTAAATCTACCTTACTTTTTTGATTATAATTATATTTTCACTATATGAAATCAGTACGAGAATCAAACCGGAAATAATCACATTCTTTTTTGTTCAACTGTAGCAATTTCTCTTCAATCTGTTCCCTGGAAACCCTTTCACTTGACTTTCGTTTGAGCCATTGCAATAAACTGGGCTCTCAGCTGCTCATCTAACTGCACATAATGGCCGATTCGAGGGCGACGCGATACGATTCACGATTCTGGGACTCTGAACTTTGCTTTGAAGTATAGTAACTTTCGTTACGATTATAGATTGCTTTTGGCCTCGGCACAAATGGCTCTTGGCATTTCCGGGCAATTTTCCTTGGCTATTGTATCAATTTGCAATTATATTTCAATCAATTTTATTGTCATATAATCTGGGGAGCAAAATAGATTGCTTTTTGTCGAGAACTTATGGGAAGGAATCAAAGTTTGGGTTGTGGGTTGTCATTGATATGTGTAAGATTTTTTGTTTAGAAGCAACGTAAAAATTTACTGATGTTGTAAGCTAGCTTTCCATATTTTATAAAATCAATAATTAATGCCAGGTGTGTAAGCTTTATACTATGACTTCCCAAGGCAGATAATTTCCTCTTCTTTTTAACAAGTCCTATAGATATATCTTGTCGATTCCTTGTTCCCAGGTGTATATTTTAAATTCGTATTGGAAGCCTTAGTTACGCTCATGGACCTTGGCTCGTTGTCACCTTTGGCCTTTGGTCCTGGGCAATTGTCACCTCGGCTTGTTAGGCCCAAGCGTCGCATTGTGGTAAATGGCGTCGCTTGTTAGCCAAGTTAACGAGACTTGCAAGTCACACAAATCCCTGTCCGGAGGCCCATTACCTACACGCTGCCATGTGTGCACTCAGCCGGGAAAACAAAGGGGTGCCAGGGGTGTTGTTGCGGGATGTGTAAGGATGACCCAATGCAATCGGGTAATTGGCCCAAACTGGCCACGCAACAATTTCATAAACAACATCAGAGAGCAGCACCAGCTGGAGGTCCAAAATATTCAGGCCAGGCCAGTTTTGCTGCTAACCAAATTCCGCGATTTGGGGGCTCGATTTTATTTTCAGCACAACACAGGGAAATATGTTGTTTACTTTATCTAATATAGATTAAGCTGTAAAATCAAACTTTCAGTTGAATAAAAATATTTTAAAATAGGTTAAATAAATATTATATTATATTTGTGAGCTTAAATCCTCAAGTCTAAAAATGAAATAAATGTTCATATTTCTGAAGTTATAACTACTTTCAGTTTAATTTAATTTTGTAAAGAAATAACAATCTAAAAGTCAAAATGCTGATATATTTGTTTCTGTAATTGAATAAGTAAAATATATAAAATCTATTATTTCTTTATAAATTTGTGTGCCATTGCAGTGGACTCTAGTGCCCAGCATCGATTGCATTTTGTCTGCGTGCGGCGAAACATTTATCATCAATTAATGGCATTAGTAAATGTTTGGCAAAGAATTCGGGCTACCAAAATATTTTTGTTATATATGCAGCGCCATAAATAATACCAAATACCGTTCTTTGTGCACGCACACACATCGACTGTGTGTATGTAGGTGGGACCGAGTCGCATATTGAATGCAATGAATTTATGGCACATTTTAAATTCAACTGAATTCATGCGTTGCTTTGTTCTGGAACATATAGTAGCAGCCCAGCCCAGCAATCTGCCCCACCGTAATATCTGGTTGTATATTTCGTTTTTTAAGCCACACAGCGTCAGCAAATATTGTTATTAATTCTTAATAATAATAATAGCAATGGCCGATGACGACTGCCTGGCATGGCCAGTGCCATCGCACTAAGGCTGCATTTTATTTATGGCCTGCACTTTCGCACTTTTATTGTTTTTAAATTTATTTGCATTTTTTATGATTAAAATATTTTTCATTTGCGGCTTAAGAGCAAATTTATACTCGGCCTCCGTCCGCCTGTTGCCAATACCTTAAATAAGTTTTATAAATTATCCAGGGTGGCCGTTTTAAATAGTTGTGCTTTATTTAATTACACGCAAACGCCGCGGGCATTATGCGGACGCAACAACATGTGGCCAGCTCTTTTAATTAATCCGCCATCAAGGGGGCCGGAAAGGCAGTGCCCATTTGGGCCAGGTCGACTGGCGAGGCCAGCAAAAACTGTGCTTCGGTAATTACACTAAATTCGCGACACAAATAAGAAAGTGGGGTATAGGGTCCAACTGCTTAATTAATTTGTTTTTAAAATATTTCTTAGGTTTACAGATTGGTAAATAAATAGAAATAGTGTACTCTTCATCTATATAAATAAATATAGAATTCATTCAGATTAATTAAATACATTAGTAAAGCATTTGGTATGTGGTTAATAAATGGAAAATAAACTGTCAGTTCTTTTTTTTAAATCCATAATAATATTTTTAGTTTAAGAATCTGTTTATTATTTATTATTTCGAGTATCAATACTAGATTAAATTTATTAAAATAATATATAAAGCCTACTATGGTAATTCTCAAAATACCCAACACAAAACCCCTTCTGAAATGTCAATCTCAGTACACCACGGACTACAAGTCAAACCGATATAAATCAGTGCTCTAGCAGCACATTACTCCATTATAAGTTACATCCATAAAAAGTCGTATATTTTCTTCCCAAACATGAAGGATAAAGGCGAGTTTCGGCGCTATCTCCACTGGGGACCAATCGTCATATTGAGCCTCACCGTATTCGTCACCTGCACCACGGTCCACATGAACTGGATGTGGTGGCCGCTGGACCAATACTGGGGATCTTGGGTGAACTACGTCCTGATCTGGGTGCACATGTTCGCCATGATCTACAACTTTGTGCGGACTCTAATGGTGGGACCTGGCTACGTCCCCAAGAAGTGGCAGCCGAAGAAGAGGCAGGACACCAAGTTCCTGCAGTACTGCAAGCGCTGCGAAGGATACAAGCCACCGCGGTCGCACCACTGCCGCCGCTGCGATCGCTGTGTGATCAAGATGGACCACCACTGTCCCTGGGTCAACAACTGTGTGGGCTGGTCCAACCAGGCCAGCTTCTTCTACTTCCTCCTGTTCTTCCTGTCTGCCAGCGTGCAGGGAGGCATCATAACTACCGCCGCTATGTTTCGGGGCATTTCCAAGCGCTACCTCATTATCAACAATATGCATCACCTGGCCACCGTAGACTTGACCATACTTAGCTGCGTGGCCTGTACCATATCCCTGGGCATTTACATTGGCATGGGATTCGCCAGTATCAAGCTGCTGCATATGCAACTGAAGCTGATCTTCACAAACAAAACGGAGATCGAGCGATGGATCATAGAGAAGGCCAACTATCGCCGTGATATGTTTTGTAAGAAAAAGCAGAAGCCCTTTGTGTACCCGTACGATCTTGGCTGGCAGCTGAACTACCGGGAGGTGTTTGTGCCGTCTGGTGATGGCTTCTGCTGGCCAGTTCTGCCCGGTTGCAACCAGTACACTCTGACCATGGAGCAGTTGGAGCAGAAGAAGGAGAAGCGGGCGCGAACCCATCCGTTCAGATGCACTCGTCCTGTCACCGGTTACTGCCTCCCGTTCATATCCCAGGGCATATGGGTATGCCTGACTATACCCTGTAACGATGATCCTCGCATTGCTCTGGAGCCCGGAGATCTCATCCGGGTGACTCGCGCTCATAAGCTTTGGTTGTACGGGGAGAGAGTGATTTCGGAGGAGGGAATGGTCGAGGGAAAACAACGTCCTGGTCCCATTAGAGGCTGGTTTCCCCGTGCCTGTGCGCAGATGATCATGGATGACGACTCGGATGCCGAACTGGCTATTCCGAAAACCTTCGTTGTTAAAAATAAGACCGATGGAAATCTAAAAAATGAGAAAGAGGCATGTGGAGATGTCCCACAAGCAGATGAAGACAAGAATGAAGCAATCAATCCATCCTTTAAGCGGACTCTAGAACTCATCGAAAACGACAATTGTCCAAATCTGGAAGATGAGAATCCTCCATGGGACGGAAAGGAAGCTGAATATGATTTCGGTGAATGCAAGGACGAATCTTCCCGTCTTGGGGAGAACCCCTGGCAAGATGGAACACGAAAACGAGCTCTTTAAAGGGCATTCTGTTCGGCGACATGGACCACAGAAAAATCACCCATTTCCAGTCGCCGCAATGAAATTGCTTTGGTCAGCCGCGGCATTAATCTCTTAGTGCGTAATGCTTAATACTTTTCAATAATGCATTAATAAATAAATACTTTCGTCGCGGCAGCAAGCCAAATGTGTATGTTAATGTCGGTATTAAAATGCTGCCCGGTCGAGGCTGATGCAGGTCTATATAAAGCTCTATGTATAATAATTGAGTTGCCGGTGCGATTTCACGGTACATTGGCCTTAAACTGGCGGCAGCAGCTGCTCTTAACCAGTTGGAAAGTATCTCCAATATGGCAGTGGCTGTGTGTGCATCTGCCGGCAAGTAATTTGCAAAGCTCCATTGTTTTTTCTCTTCTTTTTTTTGTGCTTTGTTTTGTTTTTGTTTCAGTTAGGTATCCGTGACAGGAAACAGGAACACGCGCACACACACTCACAGGGCAGGACATAAAAAACCAACTGCAACAAGGACGACTGAACGGTATTGAAAGCCAGCTCGGGAATCAATTGAAATGCACGACCTGCAAAAGTTGAGCTGAGTCGCGGATTTGCCATTGTAGTATAAACATGGCCATGGAAATCAATACGGCTCCTATATCCTATAACCCTGCGTATCTGTGCTCCTGTAGGGGCCTGCTGCCAATATCCTTTTTGCAAAAACCAGCAAGGACTAGGAATAACACGAAAAACAAGGCATTTACACAAAAAAAAAACAAGGCAATAGCTTTACACTTTTGAAACAGGAATATGTATGAAGTTAGTTAGTTACACTTTTATGTATTGTTACGTCTTTACATTTTTAATTAATACTCTTATTGGTATTATGATTATAGGTAACAATTTCACATTTAATTCTCTTAAAAATATATGGAATATATTACATTTCCAATCTTTCTAACATATATACCCAGAAAAGGGACAAATATCCTGCAAACCTAGAGTGGATGAGAAGCTAGCTGATAAAAGCTGAATGCATTCCGCCGCTGAATCATTAGCATTGGCGTCAATTAAACTGAAAGCCAGTGACTGATCAATGGGGCTCTCCTCCTCCACCTTCGAATGAAATGAATACCCCGGCTGGCTAATGCAAATGGCATTGCATTGAGTAATCACTTACAGCAATCATCACTCCTTGTTCCAAGGAGGAGGAAGCCAAAGAGGAGCGGTGTTGTAACAGGATCAGGCGACAAGCAAACAAAGCCCTGAGCCCGGGGGGGAATCCATGGGTTCCATGTTGGTTGAAGTCCAAGGCTGCGACGGCGTGTTTAGCTCAAAATTAGATAAATGCAATTTGAATTTGTGTGTAAGTTGTAGGAAATATGCCGCTGGGAAATCAGTTGTCGTTGTCATGAGTTAATAGGCGCTGGGAATTGGCTCAAATATGGGGTGTGAGATGAGCCGCTCATATGACAGGCTGCTGCTGGATGATAATTCAATGCAAAAGAGGGCACGAGTCAATAAATATTAGCACGAAGCGTTGGGGCGCATGGGAGCGTGAAATGGACCGGGTTAGACAGCTGCCTGGCAGAGCTCCTGTCCGGAGATGGCATCTCTGGCTATCGGGAGCCAACCTAATCCAAGCCCGATCCCTTTGCCCACCGGGTCCTGCTGTGAGCTGCGTTGTGTTTGGGGTCATTTGGGTGACGGCGTGGAAAATGCAAAACAAATAATCGCTTCTGGCCAGTGGAAAATCAATAGAAAAAAGGATTTCCTTTTTTGCTGGACTCTCTGGCCTGTCTGGGGAATTGAGGTTACAGCAGCATCCACATCTACAGCCACAACTACATCCATATCCACATCCACAGCCAGAGCCACATCCGAGCAGCAGCTGAAAAGTATGCAGTAAAAATAGCCATAAATAAATCTGCGTAAAAATAAAGCATGTGCCAACAGCCATAAACATAAACAATGCAACTTTCTGCCCCGTTTTCGCAGCTAGTTTTCCTTGTTTTCCATTTGGAAAGCCGGGGCTTTTATAAAGCGGAAACAAAATAAATTTTACATAAACATTTGCCACATAACAAAGGCGAACTTTAATGACTTTTGTCGTTGCAAAATAATTGTGCGTGAATTTTTTCGCTGCCACCACACAAATCGCTTTTCTGGCTCTTCCCAAAAATAAAAATAAGGAGAAGAAGGCGTCTCAGCTTGGAGTGGCAGGACTCGGCTTGCTTTCAATGTCCTGCTGGCATTTAATTTCACGGACTGTCGTCCATTTTATGCTTTGGCAACACTTTTGACTTTTATTTTGAGGCGTCCCCCCAGTCCTCAGTCCTTAGTCCTCCTCGGTCGTTACGCCCTCCCTGGTGCGGCTGTCCTTGGACGGTCTGCTCTCCGCCCCCTCAGCGCCTCGGCGGCTATTTAGGAAGTTGTCGTGATTGGAAGTTGATACCCTCGCCCGGGCTTTAGCTGGAGCGATCTGGAAACGCTTTAAGGACATTTCGCTTTGTCGTCCGCTTGGCAATTATGTGCACTATGACGACTCGGCATTTAGCCGCTCGACAATGACAGGACTCAGGCACAGGACAAGACGAGCAGGTGGGAAAGGCTCGTATCACTTACAGTCTGGCAAGCAGAACAAAGGCAATTATGGCGTCATTAGAGCCAGATGCAGCAATTGCATAGGCAGGAAGCACTTACCCCATATCGGTAGCAGCCAGAGTGCCAGAGTGGATAAAAGCCCAGCATCACCAGCACAGAGGCAAAGACAAGGACTACAGACGCATGCCACAGCCTGCAAGAGTGGACCTTGATTACGAGAAAAAAAGAAATAAACAAAAGACAATGTAAATGAGATTTCAGACTATGCAAATGATATTTATTTCTCTGAAGAACTACAAAAAAATCTATGAAACTTTGTTAAATTTGATTTATAAAATGGAAATACAGGAATTTATTGGAAAATAAATATATACCATTTGTCAGGAGATATTATTGGGGTCTAAGGCAAATCACTATCACTGCCACTCTCACTATAGATGTAAACAGTGGTATGCCTTGGTGTCTTTAAAGTAAAGCCCCTAATTACACAAATGTATCTCTTACATCACTCTAAAATTTACAGTCCAACTTGCAGCTGAATCATAGAACTATCATGTCTTCATCGTGTTTAAGAGTGATAAGGTGACCCAACTGCTTAGGTTTAAAACTCGCTGACGGCAATCGCAATCCAATCAGAAAGTTGTAAAAATGTAAAATGATCAAAGGCGGCGAACTGGAGTTGCGAGTGTGGCCGCCATCGCATTTCCAACTTCAATTTACTGCACTCGCTTTCTGGCGTGCTATAAATTCGCGGAATTGATATTGAATGCCCTCCGATTTCCATTCATGCTCCGACTCACTTCGCTTCGCATCGCATCGCATCGCAACGCTCGTTCGTCTGGGCTTTCAATCAATTCAAATGCCAAACGTCTAACAAATTGTACGATTTTCGATTTTCCAGGCACCTCTTGGGAGGAGGGGGCCTTTGCCTGGGCATTTTTGTTATTAATTTGAGCTTGGGGCGATTCGCGATTCCCGATTCCGCTTGGACTGGCGCTACTCCTGGCATTTCTGCTCCACTGACGATGGCCCTGATCTGTTGTGGATCATTGAATGGGACGGCCGTGTTGAATGCGAGTCCTGGGCTTTGTGCCAGTTCCTTGAGGAGCTGCTGCTCCTCCTTTATTTATGACACTGGCCAAGAGCCGAGGCAAAGTAATTTTTCATTATTTAAAATGAAGTAAATTGCAGTCGGTTGTTCCTGGTCGCTTCTCCTTTTCATTTCGTGCTTCATAAATAATTTATTAATTATAAAAGTTTCTGGCACTCTTGGGCGCATGCAAATTCGTCCTCACTCTCTCCTCTTCTCTCTTGCCGCCTCTTGTGGCAACAGTTGCAAGTGAAAGTTCGGCCAAATATAGCCAAAATATTACTTGCAATGTCATTTTGCGACTTGGCAGCAAAACTTTTTATTAGTTGGCACTGGCCGGGCAGCTCAGTGGACTGTTTGTCCAGCTCCCAGCTCCATCTTAGGAAGGACGGGGCGTATTTTTCATATTTTAATTGACAAAACTTTTGGCAACTGAACTGATGGGTTTTTGCTTAGTTTCTGTTACCCGGTCCTAATCAAACAGTGGCACCTAAGAAAGGACTCGGACTGCAAAACTGGAATCCTCAATCAAAGCGGGTTTGCATTTAAAGTTTTCAGTTAATTGAGAGGCAAGTTTTTTGGGGATCTCTCTGGCCTGCGGATAAAAGGATATGCGCTTCAGTGGACTTTACTTCCTTATCTCTTATATTTTTTCAATGGTTTTTTACTTTAGTTCAATTGCACCATTAATTCTTTTTATTATTTGCCTTTCTAATAACATTTTTGTCCTCTTAATCATCCCTCATAATAATGCTATAAATTTTACTTCTTTCTTGTTGTGAATTTCTAGTAGTTATGTCCCGTTTCCCCTAAATATGTTATTTGCCATGGCTTTAAGTGCCTGCAATTTAATGGCTTGCCTGGCGACACTGCATTTGTGAGTCATGTTTGATGCATGTGGCAACAACCATCGTCACTCAGGCTCAAGGCAAATCCTGCGGCAGTCGCGCACTCAAATTGTCGCAGCATCCTGCCAGCCTCTGTGGCGGTGGTGTGTGTGTGTCAAGGTTTATGTCTAAATATGCAAATACTGTTTTGAGCAGAGAGAGGAAGAGGGAATGGGGTGGCGCTTTGGCAATGTCTCTGAATGTCTCATAAATTCGTGATTAATGTCGCCGCTTTGATTTTGTATGCGAAATCAGGTTTTAATGCAGCTGCCACTTAGGCACTGCATTTGGTTGTCTGGATCATGCAGCATTAATGGCCCCTAGATGGAGTCGAGTCGAGTCTGCTATTATTGGCTTAGACGCTCGCAGTTTCGTTAATGTGTCAGCCTAACGAAATTAGCATTAAAATTTACCAGATTCCATGTGTGACTAACTCAATTTTGCCCACGAGCAGGGGCTTACACCGACGACTGGCTCTTAGCGAACAAAGGACATTGATTGCCGGCGACAGGCGGGCCAACACACACAAAGCTATTTAGTGCTAGGATACGAGAGGAAAGCAAAGTCCTTTCGGTCAGGTTACCTAGGGGTTACGTCATTAAGCTG